TATAGTACCACATACTACAAAATTTTTTACCTTCTGTAAGAATGTTAGCAAAAAGAGCTCAAGCCTATTTAAAAACAGAAGGGAAAGGTCTACACCATTATGCGTATTAAGAAGAGCTCCCTTAACAAAAAATCATATCAACTATGAACCATATTTTATTAAACTCCGAATCGATATCCAACAATTTTGACGGATATGACATCGACAATAATTATATTAAAAAATATTTATTGGAGCAATAGATATACCAGACTGAGATTCACCTAATGGAAAAATTCGAATGAATATGAAAAAATCTATTCAATTTGGGCTGATACTTCATATAAACGTAAAATCGTATGAAGATGTATTTTGAATGTATATAAAATCTGAATCGATGTCGATAAAATTTGGCAGACATATTTTCGAGCTGCATCTGATGTCCTGTGTCAAATATCCTTGTTGTGGAGTGCATATTACGAATGTGAAGGACTTTAATCAGATGAAACATATATATGGGAGCTATAGCCGATATTCACCAAATTTGAACTACTTGATCCTTGGAATAATTCAGTCGGAATTGCCAAAGTTCAGTTTATTTGGCCTGGTATTAGCCATTTGGTATATAATAAACTCGATATTGGATAAAGATATATATGGGAGCATTTATATATCATCATCCATCCAATTCTGATCCGATCTCGATAAAAATTGACAGAGGTATTTCTGGTCAGTATCTGGTACCAAAAATCATTTTTGCCGAGTGCATGTTAGTAACGTAAGGGATTTGAATACCAAATCGGATGAAACCAAAAGACCTGAACCGATTTTCTCTAAATTTGAGGTTCTGTTTTCTAGCCTGAATTCGGTCGGATATGCCAAAATTCAGGTCATTTGGACTGATATTGGCCATTTAACCCGAAATCGGTTGAAGATATATATTGGAGCTATATCCAAATCTGAACCAGTCTTGATAAAATTGGGCAGAGGTATTTCCCGCTCTATAAGATATCTGGTACCAAATATCGTTGTTGTCGAATACATATTATGAATGTGAAGGACTTAATCACCAAATCGGACGAAACATATATATGGGAGCTATAGTTATATCTGAACCAATTTCCTCCAAATTTGATGTTTTGCTTCTAGACTGAATTCAGTCAGATGTACAGAAATTCAGAACTTTTTGACACATATTGGCCATTTGGTGCACAATTAACCCGAAATCGGTTGAAGATATATATGGGACCTATATCCAAATCTGAACCAATCTAGACAAATTTCTCAGCTGCATCTGAAATCTGGTATAAAAATTATTGTTGTAGAGTACATATTACGCATGTGAGGGACCTGAAACCACAATTCGGATGAAACATATATATGGGTGCTATAGCTATATCTAAAACGATTTTCACCAAATTTGAAGTAGTTGTTTCTAGGATAAATCCGATATGATGTGCCAAAATTCAGGTAATTTGGGTTGATATTGGTCATTTTGTGCACAATTAACTCGAAATCGGTCAAAGATATATATGGGAGCTATATCTAAATTTGAACCGATTATCACCAAATTCAATAGGGTTCGCCCATTGGCCAAGCAAATGATTTGTGAAAAAATTCATCTCAATGGAATAATACATACATCCTGCATTTTGTTCACAAAAATACATGGACAGACAGACTGACAGATGGATGGTCTGACTTGCATAAATCGACTCAGAAAGTGATTCTATGAATATCCTCAAAATTAACTATGGGTCTATCTCGCTTCCTTCTCCATGTTACAAAACAAATGAACAAAGACATAATACCCTTACCACTATGTGGTGTAGGATATATACATTGGGATATTGCGTATGGTGGGATTGATACCAGATTTAATGGGATAATATGTATGACCTGAATCTTATATAAATATTAGGGTATGGCAAGTTTGAACATAGCTGAAAATTAGATATGTGTTTATATTCCCAAAAATTCAACTTCTGTCTGGGAGGTACTAGAAGAAGTGAGCCAATATTGTCACTTGATAAGTTAAGTAAAAATACGTCTGTGGTATAATTTATCGCTTCATATTCTCATCTGGAGTAATATTTAAATTGCAACCAAACAGACCAAACTCAGAGCCATCTTTCAACGAAATTCAGAATGAGTCCTCATCACCAGTGAACAACAAATTAAGTCTGTGAAATAATGTATGTTTATTTATTTATTTTTTTTTTTTTTAAATATTTTATTAATAATTCAAAGTCTTTGCGAATATATGTTTTTTTTTTAATGTTATGTGTTGGGGGTATTATAAGTTTGATTGGGCCAAAAATTTTTAACACCTCGAAATAGAGATTTGTAACACTAAAACATAAGAATGTACATATGGATCTCTTCCGTTGTGTTTTTCCTCGGGAGAAATGATAAATTTGGGGATAGGCGAGTTGGAGAAAAGCGTGAAGGAAAAACAAAAATATAGAGAGAGGTGTAGTTAGGAGGGTTATCTGTCTATCCAAAGAATACCTTTGGCAATTTTGTAAATAATGATTGGATCTATATCTGAGAACAACATTACAGTTTCTACCTACCACCTACCATATAGTCTATATATCTTGTTGGATAATCTGGACATTTGCAAAGTCAATCATCGATCCTCTCTCGTACAATAGTCAGGAACACAGTTGTACAATTTTAAGGTCAGATATCTGATACTGCAGTGACCTGTCAATATACCCACAACGATTCTTTGATCAAACATACTAAGTGATAGAAGGGAGCTTGTTCTTCGCCTCGAGTTTACCGGCCCGATGGCGTTAAACAACCTGCAAGCAGTGCCACTTTGTTCCGACTTCTTCGATGAGAGATTTTATGAAGCAGCTAATGTAATAACTTATCTGTGACTTAACAGTCTCTTCAATCCTTGTAGCAATCGACTGGTATCTGCTTCGAGCTAATTCATAACCCATATCATTCCCTTTTATATTGATATGTCCAGGAACTGAAAAAAGAAATCCATGCGCCCACTCGTTTCAAGTATGGCTTTCTTGCAGTCAAGACATGGACATGGACAAACGAACACAGCTAAATGGACTCAGCTTGGCAAGAATGGACTCAGCTCGGATAGATTGTACCAATATTTGGAGGTGTTGTTGGCTCAATCTTATAACACCCAGTGTTGTGGAATATAAATAAGTCACCAAAAAAAATATATAATAACACAAATATTTTTATCTAGATCCTGTGTTGGGGGCCCAGATGGAGTGGGCCCATTTTAGTCGATTTTCGCACATAATGTATATTTCATATAAATCCTACGACTTAGCTATTTTTTTTCTACAGATATTTCAGTTCCGGTTGAAGATTGATTTGTAAGTGGTTACAATTGCCAAAAAATGGTTGCGAAACTTATTATTTATTAAGGGGCATGTGAATTAAATAACTATATTTCTGGTGAAGACATACAGCATAATAAACATTTTCACAATTTGATGGTTGTGATGGATCTGATTATAATATGAGTAACGAACTACAGCACAAGTATAACGGATGTAATCCCCACTGGTGACAAATGTTTCATGATCGGCCGAACATTTAATACCCCCACCATTGGGAAGGAACTTGAAAATTTTCAAAAAAAAAAAAAAAAATCCGCCAAAAATCCGCTCCTATGCATAGGATGTAGTACTAATATCATCAAAATACCGAATAAAGGGAGGTACCGTTATATGTGGGCAATCCGAAGACGTCATAGGTTAAAAAACCCATTACGAACTTCAAATACGACATTTGAAATAAGCTACCTACTGGCAAAATACACACGTGTGCGAAATTTTAGCCCTCCATCTCAACTCGCTACAAAGATAACGTGATTTAACGGACAGACGGAGAGACAGAGAGAAATCAACTTATATTTGTAATTGGAAGAATATATATACTTTATTGGGTTTAACACGAGTAATTCGAGCAGTTACAAACGGAATGACAAAGTTAATATACCCTCAACAGCGGTGTGGCAAATGGCTTTAGAAACCAAAAAAAATATGTCAAATTATATGTTTGCAATGAACAATTTTATTACATCGCTGCACCTTTAATACTCACCAGCATAGTACTGACATTTTGTGGTAACCATCGCACTCAAATATGCCCTTCCCCTATTCAATACACACGATTTCCTTAATTTTTTGTTGTTGTATCGTTTCTTTATTAAATTGTCCTCTTTGATTTTACATGAATTGTTAAATTTTATTTATTTTTATTATATATATTTTTCTTTCGAGACTTTACAATAAAACAGTTTTATGATTGAATTATAGCATAAAACCAAATTGACTTGTTCAAGAGTATATTGGTATTAAATGTTATAGAATTGAATTGAACAATAAAAAACAAAAACAAAAAAGAGAAAAAAAAGCAACGAACGAACAAAAAAAGTTTTACGCCATAATGTGTTTAATTGTCCGTGTGTATGTGTGAATATGAGAAAACAATTTTATTTGGAATGCATTGAATAAATTAAATTAGTGGTGAGTCGAAATAATATCGAATGAATAAAATAATTTCATTTAAATTGTTTTATAGTTTTATTGTTATTTTAATATATATATAAACTTTTAAATCTTGTAAATATTATTATTATTATTAATATTATATATGGTGTTATGTACAATAAAATATGTTTGCATTTATTGATTTAATTATCGTTTAATAAAAATTTGTGCCATTTTATATTCTCCTCTGAAAAAAACCCGGTTTTACCTTTTTTTATTTTGTGTTTTTTTTACTGAATCTCCCTCCATTCGGGAGCAGAAAAACGGGTATATAATTACTGCGTTGTCAGTTGGTAGTGGCAAAGCTTGTGGGACTTTGCTTCTGTATGCCATGGATAATTTTTTTATATCAGATTTAAGCTATTATAATATTAATTTTTTCGTGTTATTTCTGTATACGACTATATGGTGGCTGCTTGTGTGTTTTTTTTTTTATTTTTTGTCTTCATCAACTGCAATTGGTTTTTAATTTATTTCCATAAGTTTTTGTTTTTTTTTTTTACTGAAGCTAATTTACATATACAAATGTTATGCGGTTGGTTGTTTTTGTTTTATTTTTTCATTATTTAAGTTTAATTAGATTGTGTTTTTGAAGAATTTCAGTGAGGCGTTAGTTTCATTTCATTTTTGAGTTATTGGTATTTTTATTAGGTGGATTTAATTTGTTTTATTTAATAATAATAAAGGTGCTGTTTATATTGGTATATAGTAAAGAAAAATAAAAATATATTTTTATTTATTGCAGGATGACTGAAAGGTTAAATAAAATAATAATGAAAAATAAATTCATATTATTTCAAATTGGTGCGTATGAGCGACGAATAACTCTTGTTAAAATTGCAATAAATTATACGTCACTTGACACTAGAGCGTATTTCGAGATATACCTTCAAATCATTAAAAACTGTTTAAAAGGGGAAAAAGATTCGTAACTTAAGTGGAGGACAAATTGTACGAAAACCAATTTTTGGAAAAGAATTTTTCTGTACTGGAAAATTAGTTAGCATTTTCAAAATAAAACTTAGAGAATCTTTTTGCAATCAAGTTACATGCCGAAATTTCTATATTTCAATAAATAAGCAAAGGCTACAATCGGGCTGTGCTGACTATGTGGTATCCAACAACAATATAGCAATCGGTAAAGTTTCGGTAAATGTGATACCCTTGTAATATTATGACCGATTTCCTCAATATATTGGTCAAAATTAAGTAATTATTCCAAAATACAAGGTTCCTTTTCAAATTTTTGACTTATAGGGTTTATAGGCAATATGCAAATTTTCAAATTTTCTAAGCACAATAAGAATGTCATGTATGTCATGTTTGTAGAGTCTCTTTTCACTAAAATTAAAAAAGGGTAAATGTAACTTTCGATTTTACCAGCATACGTATATCTTTAGCCTATGTCCTTTTGTACGTCTGATTTAAATATCTAGTTCCACATCCACACTTTATATAAAGTAGGTGAAAATATTGTATTATCCAAAGATAAACGAAACATCGAATAATTATTCTGAATTTTATAAGCCTTGTAATTATTTCAAATGTTAACCCCTTGTGGGAAAGGGATTTGAATAAGTGGGTCGGAAAATCAAATATTCACATCAGGTCTCTAGTTATGTGTATCATTGATATATAGCTAGTAAAAAGAAAATCACTAATATGTTTCACAAGTAATAAGGTTAATGAATATTGAAAATTTTGCTCCTTCGTGGAAAAGGTACCTGAGAGTGGGCCCCCATATCCACTCTTCACACTTGATATTGTGTTGGTAGAAATATTAGGATGTGTACAAATTTAAGACAACCGGATTATTATTTCATGATTGATAAAGATTATGACTATTTAAAATTTTGACTCTTTGAGATACATGATGAAGTGGGACGAAAGTGTTCATTTTCGTACAAGACCAAGCACTGATACGAGTATTAGAATTTACAAAGTTTGAACAAAATTAGACTTTTTTCCTTGTTCTATGAAAATTTTAACTTTTTGTGGGGGAAGTACAAGGACTGGACTGATATTGCCCATCGCCGAACTTGATCTAATTTTAAGAATAATATTATGATGTACCAAGTTCGGACCAATTGGAACACTCCCCTCAAGAGTAGGGGAGCGCACCAGCAAGCCAGACGAACCGACAACCCCAGATCGATTCCAAATACCTTAAAATAGATTTGGTCGAAAGAGACGTAGGATCAAAACCATTATTGCGATAAGACATGTTTTGGCCGTAAATAATATATATCCTCTATAGTCATATGGCTGAGGGTATAAAAATGAAGAGCATCCTTTATATGGGGCGTGTACAAAATATTGGACTCATCTTCAAATTGATATATTTACTCAGAATTACAAATTTCTTATTTTCGATACCATCCAAATTTCAAAACAACAAATTTATCGCCATTTTTGAGGATCATCGGTTTCAACGAGGCTTGACAACTATGAGGTTAGGCAACACTGAGGCTGTAACGAAGTCAATAAGCCATTCAATTAGACATGGTAGCCAAAGTGGATATGCAGCGTATTCAATGGATGGGTCTTTGTCATATGAATCGGTCTGATTTTTTTCTTTTTATTTTTGACAAAATTAATTAGACTTCCTAGCCTGTCTTACAATTTTTAAAATAAGTTTCTAGAATTTAGTCCCGAAAGAAATTGAATTTGACGAAGTATCTAGACATAGGTAATAGGAAACAAAATAAATTTGCCCGGACATATCCTGGAGATATCAGCGCTAAGGATATTAAGGGAACAATCCAACATTCTGTCCTATACAAGTGAATGAGAATTACTACAGACATTGCGACCATAGAACATCAATTTTACCATGAATGAATGTTCCCTGAAATCTTCGACTAATAAGTGAATATTAAATTCAAAATCCAAATATGTTATCCAAAGGGAACTCGTTAGGAAGAGTCATTTCATGTCATGTTATGGTATCGTAGTAAAACGCATACTTGCTATAAAAACCGATTTCCCAACGAATATTCTGGAATTCTCCAATTATTCAAATGGAAAAACTAAAATTCCTTGCAATAACATCTTCATTTATTTTAATGTACGAAGGTTTTTCAAACCCATTACTATTCGATATTTTGATAATCATAGTCACATTAACCCACGAATTTGTTTCAAATTTGGTATTTAAGAAGAATTGGTAAATGACAATCTGTGAAGTATAAATTGTCTATAGAGGCCCCCTTTTTGGTATGGTCCCCATATAAAAGCCTCACCCACTTTATGGTTTTTTAAAAAGTTTACAGCATTTTCCAAACTGTGTTTGTAATTTAAAGTAGAACACGTTCGAATTCAGATACTTTTTTTTATAAAAATGTTTTTTTTTTGCCCAGTGTCATCCATTTTGCTCTCCACGTTTTTTTCTTACTTGTGGAATATTGGCTATATCAAAAATGGACCAATATTATAATTTTGTCGAAGAGAAATTTCAGGCACTGAGAGTCAATATTGTCAAATAACATTTTTTTAGTTTCGAAGTAATGTTGAATTTAATTTCAACTGACTGGAGTAGAATTTTATATTGATTGTGGACACTATAAACCGATTAATGTTTTATCACAAATTTTGCAGTTAGAATCACTGAAATTTTTTTCAAGTTAAAAATCATCCTGCAATAAATATTGAAGTAAAAAATAAAAAATTACCTTTAACCATATTATAATTGGGTTTATTTACAAAATTGTTATTAAATATTTGAGAGTATTTGGAAGTATTTTTAATAAATATAATAAACAATTAAGTAGATATAATAAATATATAATGATAATAAAATAAATATTTTAAAAATATACATTTAAATGTAAATATTCCGTCATTATATTTGTTTGTTTCTTAATTTCATCTTTTTCTTGTGCAGAGAAATAATAAAGCTGAACCGCATATAGAATAGAAATTAAATCAGTATGATGGATTCTATTCATTTGGAGATATATTGGAGGCGGGGGATGAAACTGATTTTCGATAAACAGTAACTGACTTGAAAACTGCAAAGGATATTTATTGGTTGGAGAACTTTTCTTATAAGAATAAAAGTTGTAATAAAGATAATTTAATTTTCTTTCCTAACAATTAAAATGTCTTTTATTTGGATTCTAATAGTTTTTGATAAAAACTTTGATAGTTTTTTCACTTGTTGTTACCATAACTTCTTAATTATGATGATTGGCTAAAATGCTAATAACAATATGGCTAAAAGCTATTATCAAAAAACGTGTTTATGTTATTCCACAATGGGAGATTTTTTTTCTTCTCATTTCTAGTTATAGATAATATGTTTTTATTTTAGTAATGTTATAAAAAACAAATGGTGGTTTTTGTATTCGTTTCCCCAAAATTATTTTTTTGGTAGATTTTTTTCTTCCACTCACCAAATATCAAAGGCTTGTTTGTTGTATTTAAGTAAATAATTATTGATTTTATTTGTTTGTTTTTGCATTTAATAATAATTAATAATTATGTTTTGTCACAATTAATTGGTGTATTGACAATGTTAAACTTTAGTTTATAATTAAGTTTTCCTTTTTTTTTCTTAATTTTTCGTGGAAAAATTTCCCCCTTTTATTTTAATTGCTATGAACTTGTTATTGTTTGTCGTATCTATAAAGAATTGATTTTTGTTGTTGTTGTTTGTTTTTCATTTTAAGAGTTTCTTGCGAATGCTCTTGGCTTTAGAAAAAATGTGAATTGTTTTTGTAAGAAGTTATCTTAAGATTGTAGATTTCAAAATGTTTGTTTTATTTTTATTTTTTTTTGTCTCTTTTTTTCCTTAGCTTATCTTATTGAGAAGAGAAGAGGAAAAAAATGAAGATTAACTTGTTTTCGAAAGAAAATTTAATTAGATTTTCCCCTCTAACCTTTTAAGAAGTAATTATTTTAATCAATTAAAATTAAAGTTAACTTTATATATGTTTAAGTACCTTCGTTATGGAATTTAGAAAAAGAAAAAACGAACAAACAGCTTTAAAGCTTTTAAAGTAATGAACCAAGTTAGGAATTGCTTTTCTTTTTTTGTCTACTGTAAACCCTTCGTTTCTGAACGAAAAAGGATTTAACCACCACCTAAACTTAACGCCTGAACTATACGTGGATCAGCTTTACTACCCTCACGAAATTCTTCCAGTGTTAACTTTCCATCATGATTTTTATCCATTTGATCAAATATCTTATCTACCCGTTTCTGGGGTGTGTTTTCATCCTCCGCTTGCGGTTGTTGTCCCTTTGTTGTCCAGATTGATTGTTTGTTTGATTGTTTTGAAAAGGAGAAACAATTAAATTGAGTATGGTTAATAATTAATTAGATATGAAGAATATGGAATTTATAATTTTAAAGTGTACACACAGAAAAAATTGAATGCCATGAATGAACGAAAGTGTGTGAAATTTTCCGCATAAAAAAATATGAAAACCATGCAAACTGATTTTAGTTTTAGATTTTAACGTGTGGATCCAAACTTAATTTTTTCACACTCAAAAATTGACTTAATTTTTGATAAAAATAAGAAAGATTTTTTAGTATTTTAACTTTTTCTGGCATTAAAGAACAAAAGTATGTTTTCTGCGGGTTTAAATTATGGTTAGAAATTTAAATTCCCTTCAGAAGATTGGAGTGTTTTCCTTAATCCTTTTTAATTTTAAACATTATTGACAAGGCATTTGAGTTATTTTTAAGTAACTCCTGGTGAAAATATCCGCGGATACAAACCAAAGCGTGGCAAGGGGGAATGGCTCTTCCCGAAGCCATGTTATCAGCATCATACGCAGTACCTAAGCATAATTCGTTTTATTATACCCTCCATAGTATGGAGAGTATATATATTCTTGATCAGCATAAATTTCTATGTCGATTTAGCGATGTCCGTCCGTCTGTGAAAATCACTCTAGCTTCCGTACGAAATTAAGTAGGTTTATAAAATTTTACTTAGATATATATTATATCTGTACAACTTTTGATATTGAAAATGGGCCATGTAGGTCCACGTTTTGGTATAGCCCCATATAAACGTTCCTCCCTATTTTCGGTATTTTGGTGATTTAAGAGACATTATTCACCGGAAATGGTATTTGAAGTTCGTAATGGATGCTACAGCCTATGACAGAAAATTGCCCTCGCAGATCCACGCCTTCGTATAACTCCCATATACAGCCTACGACAGAAAATTGTCTGTGCAAGTCCTCCCGAAATTCAGTATTTTGATGGTTTTAGCGACACTATTCATTGGTTTAATTTTGGCATTTGAAGTTCGTAACGGATATTACAGCGTATGACAGAAAATTGTCTGTGCAGGTCCACGTTTTGGTATAGCCTCCATATAATGGTACCCCCCCCCCTAAATCTCGTAACTGGATGCTTTTAGCTACATTATTCACCGATTTTTTTCAAGTTTCGTATTTGAATATATTGTAATGGCTTATGACAAATGTTGCCCACGCGGGTCCACGTCGTCGTTTAGACCCTAATATAACGGCTAACGGCATTTGTAAGATTTTAACAAAACTTTTAACTGTTATTTTCTTGAAAATTGTCAAATTCGATCTAAATGTTGGAGGGTAATCAATAACAGCTTTTTTAAATTTTAATTGTTTTTAATTGTTTCTGGCTGATGTTTTCAATAATTTTGGACGCAGCACGGACCTAATGTTGAAAATCGGGAGATTCGTGGAAAATCAATTCCTTTTTATACCTTACACCAAACTGTGGCCGAGGTATTATGGCTTTGTGCATTTTTTGTAACATGAAGAAGCAAACGAGATAGACCCATAATTCCTTTTGATGATCTGCATCACATTCTGAGTTAAGGAAGTAGGAGAACAAGTATGGATTTTTCTATCTCGCCGAGCTGAGTCGATCTAGCTATGTATTTCCGTCCGTCCGTTTGAACATGTTAATTTGAAATCATCATCAATTATGGCCCTATCCTAATTGGAGGTGGGGTTAGGGTCAGAACAGAAGCCTATTTTTTTGGAGACAATATTTAATGGTTGGAATTGACCAAAAACCGACAAATTTATTGCTCTTCAGGCCATAAGCACAGACCAATCGAGCCGGAGTTTAGCATACGGCTAGAGTTTAGGGCTAGTCAGAAGCCTACCATAGCTTTTTGTAATTAAGACGAACATTTCCACTAAACAGCGAATGTTTTTATTCTTGGCGAACTAACAATAGCAGAAAATGTCACTTCTGACCCTTACATTGATGCTCATATCCAAGATATCGCATATGCAGCAAAATATATACAATCTTATATATCAATGCAGGGGTTGTTAGTTAGACAGCTTATAACTCAAGAACGGCTGGACAGATTTTGACAATTCTCACAAATTCGAAAAGGGATAAAATCTAAGAAAATCGAGCGAAAATATGCCAGCAAAAAAGTATTTTTTTCATATTTTTGTTATATTTATTATCGCATGAGATTTTTTCATATTTGACTTACAATATTGAATTTTACGAATTTTCACCTTACAACATTATATTTTGGGAGTCGCAATTTTCGTCGGATTCTCATGAAATTTTGAATGGGATAGAGTTAGGGTCAGAATTGAAGCCTATGGCTTTTCAAGATGTATATTTAGGGGTTCAAATGGACCAAAAAGAAGTTTCTAATCTTGCAGTGGCACTACAGGTCACAATTTAAAACCAACGACACGGAATTTTGAGTGAGGTTACAGTTTAGGACAGCGCAGAAGTGTATCTTTTTGGATTACCCTTATTTAGTGGGTGAAATGGACCAAAACTTTTCTTTGAAATTGTAAGGTATTATTTTAGGTAATCGACTAAAATCGAAATAAGGTGGTTTTCCAATATACTATAACGTTTTAGGGTATCATATGGTCGGTCCCACGACTATAGCCATGCTCACGTGTTTGTTATTAAATTATCTTATCAAAATATTGTTTGGATAATTTTAGGTGAAGTCTATAAAGTGACTACGTGGTTTAGAAAGAAGTATTTATTTCGAGTTTTTTTGCGATAAAGCGTGTGTGAATTTTGCACCAGAACAGTCCAAGATCGACTCAATTTTTACTAGCTAATCCTTTTTTATAATTTTTTAGTACTACTGTAGAAGTAGCATTTTACTCTTGGAAAAAATTTATTATTTTTTATAGTATTTCTCTGAAAACCTCTTAAAATTTAATGTCTCATAAAGATATTTCAAATATTAAGTCAATAATCGAAAAAAAAACTACCCATAGAGAAAACAACCCAAAGGAAAAAATAGCATGTGGAATACTTAATAAAAAGTCGTGTTTATTTGATTTTTGTTATAGAAAACTTCCAGAATTTAACAATCTGATGCTCTTAAACCAAACTCAGACCTTTCAGACTTGAGGTATGACGATTTGAAACTTTTATGTTGCCTATGCTCCCCAAGGGCTGTCGCCCTATAACCTTTAACTTCCTAAAACTTGTTGCACTCTACCATTATAAAACATGTCATATAATTTTCCACGAGTGCAACCGATTTTTTTTCTGTGTGTACACGAAATAAAAATAATTTTAATTCATTAAACATTCTAAACACATTCATCTTCGTATTTATTTAACACTTGACATTTATCTTGTTCACATTTACCACAAAATACAAAATAAATGACAGGAATTGTTTCAAGAGTCACTCAAGTGGCCAAGTGGATTTTGTTTTGTGTTTTCTTTCTAACCATTAAAAACACTTCGTTTCTTTTTTTATTAAGGTTATATATATACACAGTACTTGGTTTTCATTTCAGCTTCAAAGTTATACAAAGTAGTTGAAAAAAAACAACACACACATACACAATACAATCACAAAAAAACGAAACTTTACATACCACCATTTGATAAATCGCATCCACAATGTTGTACATTTCCTCTCGCGTTATATAGCCATCATTGTCCACATCGTATAAGCGGAATGCCCCTGTTGGAGAATATACAAAAAAAAGATGGAAATGGAAGAAATAGAAGCCAACATATATTGTGGAGTATAAGAGGCCGGCGAGGTGGAGAAAAAAAAAAAAAAAACAAAATATTTAAAGGAATTTGAAAAAAAAACACGCGGTATATAAAAGGAACTTAAACCCATACATAAACTTCCACAGCACCAAAACGAAAAAATGAAACTCAAAAACCACATCACCAACACTTGTAACAAAAACACCAAAATAAAAAAAAACGCCCGAAAGAAATGAATGTACAAAAAACAAATAGCTGCAACATTGTATTTGATTTTCGAATGTAATAGTCCTCTGTTGTTGTCGGAAGAAGAAGAAAAAAAAAACATTTACATATGTACATATGTCGAAATGACTGTGTGGCTTAACTTTTATGTTAGCGCTACAGAACCGGGACATGAGTAAATCTTGTTTCCTTTTTTCCAACAGCATATAAAAATCTTACCCATATCACACACATACACACACGCGGCACAAACGCACACAGGCACATAAACCCATGTGGAGTACATTAGTAAATAAACATTAAGAAGAAATTGTTGCAAATGACATTACCGAAATCGTATTTTAATGTTAGACAAGAACAACGAAATGATCTTTAAATGCAAAAAAAAAGAAATTGGAAATAATGCGCTTGCCTGGTGTTCAACCAGCCATTTTTACAATCAGTGGAGCACCAGAAAGCAAAAAAGTATTCGGGTGTTATAAAGACGTCTGTTAGGATACATAGTGTCTATGAGTTACAAACGGCTTGAAAACTGTATATTCTCTCACGCTATGAAGCACGGAATCAAAACAGACCGCAGGTTTTTGCCACCTGTTTAATAATATTTTGGTATTTTTAAACAACTTCCGATTTAATCTGGAGACGGAAATTTTTAGCATAGCATGCATATTTTTATTCACTTGGACGCAAATTATATACAGTCTATTCTGTTTTAGAAAAGTACGCTACACGAAAATGCAACCAAGAAGCACCAAAAAATAGTACATTCGAATAACATAATATGACGAGCAATTGCCTTCTACTTCGTCAGCGAAATGTCCACCCTAAAATATTAGATACGTTCGAAAAGTTCGTGTTAGGCCATTTTAGCACTCAAAATTCACAATTGTTTCAGTTTTAATCAAAATATCATACATCGTACTAAATTCTCAGTCTTTCGAGGTTTTAAACGTTATTTAAGTTTCTTATTTTTCGAAAAAAAAAAATAGGAAAATGTTTACCTTTAGATGTGTAACCATATCCTATGCCTGTTTATTAAAAAAATTTTTGACTTATTTTATGTTTATTCAAAATTTTGACCCTTTATGGAGGAGATACCGAAGGAATGAACTAACCCATATATACTAACCCATGGATACTGAACTAACCCATATATATTACAACGTGCGTGATTTAGACTACATCGCCTACTTCCTTCACTTAATATGGTGTATGTGATAATTCTGTGAAAATATTGAAATAAGCGTCAGGTACCATATCAAATGATCAAACCATTCTACTTCATCTAATACTTATAAAAATATTTACATGTGAAAAATGTTGATGAAAATCAGACATATATAGCAATTTTTTATACCCTCCACCATACTATGGAGGGTATATTAACTTTGTCATTATGTTTGTAACTCCTCGAAATATTCATGTCAGACCCAACAAAGTATATATATTCTTGATCAGCGTAAAATTTTCGATTTAGCGATTTCCGTCTGTCTGTTCGTTTGGCTTTTGTAATCACGCAATCATCGGAACGAATTGGGATTGAAGGCCAAAATTTGGCACACATGTTATTTTGCCAGCAGGCTTGTTAAGTTCGTACCTCACGATATTCGATATTTTGATGAGTTTAGCGACATTATTCACCGGAATTGTTTCAAATTTGGTATTTGAAGTTCGTAATGGATACTACAGCCTATGACAGAAAATTGTCTGTGCAGGTCTACGTCGTCGTATAGCGCCATACAACGGTACCTCCTAAAATTCGGTATTTTGATGATTTTAGCGTTATTATTCACCGGAGTAGTCTCAAATTACGTATTTAGAGTTCATAATGGAAACTACAGTCTGTGACAGAAAATTGTCTCTGCAGGTCCAGGTCCTCGCATAGGCCCCATATAACAGTACCTCCCTATATTCGGCATTTTGATGATTTTAGTTACATTATTCAACGTTTATTTCAAGGTTCAAATATGGTAATGGCTTTTGAAAAACAATACCTATGTAGGTCCACGTCGTATAGATCCCAATATAACGGCTATACTCGGTATATATACTCGGTGGAGGGTATTCAAAGTTCGGCCCGGCCGAACTTACTATTTTTTTAACTTGTTTTTTTTTTTTTTTTTTTTTTTGAGAATAATTGTTAACCAGAAGGTGTAAGTCGATATCTACCATTTTCACAACAGATCTTGTGTTAGTAGAAATATTGATATGTGTGAAGTATAGAATTAATCAGATGCTTATTTCGTATTTTATGAAAAATTTTGATACGTTGTGTGGGAGGTACCAGAAGGTGTGGACCGATATTGCCTATCTCCGAACTCGATGTAGGTTTGAACATTCCGAGAATGGAGCTCTATAAAAAACCAAAGTCATTAACATTTAGAATTTTTCTTATAAATTTAGTACTCATGTACAAAATCGTTCCATATCACAATCCAAGAGCCCAAAAGTTATAGCAAAGGACAATCTCGCGGTTACCGTTATATTCCTTAACCAAGAATAAATTTTGTGCATTTTGTACAATTTTAGTACACTTTTCCAAAATCATCTCCATATCTCAACCTCAACAGTCATCAAAGACCTCAAAATAAAATTTCTGGATGTCAGCACTATTCCTTCACCTAATACCGAATTTAGTACTATTAAGTAATTTTCGTACAATTGTAGTACACATTTCTAAAACTACATCCATATATCAATTCTAGATACAAACAAAGACATCAATACCAAATTTGTAGATTCCAGCCCTATCCCATCACCCAATACCAAATGAAATATTATTTAGTATAGTACACATTTGCGATACCACCTACATATCTCAATCAATATGCCAACAAAGACTTCAATATAAAATTTGAAGATTCACTCACCCAACATCAAATTTAGTAACATTTTGTAGTTTTCATACCACCGAGAAATCTTAAACACATATATCATCAGTAATCTTATTAATTTAGAATTTAAGAATATTACCTTTATCCCTTCACTCTATACGAAATATAGTACCAATTAGTTCTTTCCGTATAATTACAGTACTTATTTCCAAACCCACCTACATATCTCCATCCCAGATACCAACAGAGACCTCAGTATCAAATATCAGGTTTTCCATCAACCTATATATTTATTATTTTTCGTATAATTACAGTACATTTCCAAGACCACCTCCATAACTTAACCACAAGCACCAACTGTGACACTTACATCAAATTTCACGATTTCAGCTTTATCCTTGCCCCAATACCAAAAAGTGCCACATTTAGTACCAGTTGGTAATTTTTGTACACATTTCCAAGACCACCTCTCTATCAAAAACAAACCATCAACAGGAACCAAGTACGAAATTTAAAAATCCTAGCTTCATTCAATATAGTACCATTTAGTACAGTTCGCCCATTTAGTACACATTTTTAAAACCACTTTTATATATTAAACTTATTTCCCAAACCAAATTTGAAGTTTTTAGCTTTATCCGTTTACATAATACCAAATGATGCCATTTTAGATCCTTTCGTAACTCTACTGTCCGAGATTCCAAAAACCCATTCGTAAATACACCCACCACTCCATCAGTGGCTTTCATTCGAAATTTCAGATTTCGAACTCATTCTGTTTGTCCAATGAAAAGTATTTTGGTACTTTTCATATCCTTTTAAAGCGAATTGCCAAAAACAGAGTCTTATCACCTATGCACCAAGGCTGACCCTCGTGCAAAATTTCAAGATTCTAGCTTCAGTCGTTAAGTAATATTTCTATAGCCCATATCCTCCTGATATTCGGTATTTCGATTATTTTAGCCAACTTTTATTCAGAATTGTTAAAAAGCTTAGATAGGATGTTCTAAATAAAAGAAATGATTCTTACCCCTGAACTGGAATTTCGACATTATTTTTACATGAGTAACTTTCCAAATGTTGGAGGGTATAAAAGGTTCATCCCGGCCGAACTTACCTTAAGATCCACAATAAAATAATGACAATTTTAATTCTTATGCCCAACGCGTGGATAGTTTTGGGGTATCAAACTCCAATTCAAACTCAGATGGAAAAATTTCCCGAAGAAGTCAATTATATGAAATACAATGAAGCACCTGTGAACTGATATTTTAGTAAGGTATCATTTATGACTAATTCGTTTAAAAATAAATTCGACTTATAACATTTGGTCCGATTACATCATTTTATTAGTCAAAAATATGTCAAATAGAAACAAAGTAAATAATAAGAAGAAAGTCCTTGGAATAAAATCGGAAATATGATTTAGCACAAAACAAAAATAGAAAACTACTTAGGCGCTATTCAATCTCTTTGCCAATTTCCTTTCACAATGGCGTAGATAAAACAAGTCAAAACCACAGCAATTAATAACGTTTGTCACAAATTATATGGATTATAATATTTTTGTTTGTCTCTTCCAAAAACCACTACGAAACTCTTTGCTCCTGCGACTGATAATAACGTACTCAAGTCATAAATCTTTGACAATAACAACAAGCATTCCAAGATGAAACGAGAACCGTAGAAGTAGTAGACCTAGGATAGCCATTAGTCAATTGCACATTTGTTTGTTTGTTTTCACTAATTTCGATTGTTCAGAATTGGAAACGCCTTCAACATTGGCAAATACTACACACCATCTTTCGTACCTCACTTCCTCCCTCACTCTCTGCATCCGACCACTACCATTCGAGTAATTTACCAAAATGGTAGGACATTAATCATTTAATAAATCATTTGACCTTTGCGACTGCTGCAAAAGTAGAAGCAAACCAAACCAAACATATTACAATACAATTACAATAAATCTAGAATAAATAGAGCCATAGCCATAACAAAAACACCTAATTGTGAATGGGGTGGGTGAGGGGGTGAGAAGGCAACTTTGTAATCGAAAGTTGGAAGCGAAACTAAGGGTGATAGAGAAAATTGAGGAAAAGTTGGTCAAAAACAAAAGTGTAAGGTTAAGTAAATACCCATTGATTGTTACCGATGTGTACAGTGTTTTAGAGAGAGGATTTATTTATATAAAACTTAGATTTTTGTCCTTGTGTTTAAAAAAATTAAGTCATTGTGTTTGGCAGAGATTAAAATATGAGGATTTTGTATTAAAGGTGGTTATTTATCCGAATGCTAAAACAATAAAAAAAAACATATTTAATCCATTAAATATATTATGGGAGTATATTGAACTTATCCGAATGAGTCCAAAAACTCTTTGGTTAGAATTAAAGCCAAATAAGCGTTTACTTTTCCCGTCTTTTTATTGAAGAAGTCACGCTTGGATAGGACCGCCATATAACGGTACTTTCTGATTTTTTGTACCTTTTTTTAAGTAAATTGTCTGAAATTCTACACATGAAGTTCGATGTGGGCACTTTACTCCCTGAATGAGAATTATCTATATAGGTCCACTATATCGTATAGCCCCCATATAACGGTACCCCCACGATATTCGGTATTTGGATGATTTTAGCCACATTTTTAAACGGAATTGTCTTTAAATCTACACAAGGGGTTCTTTGTGAGAACTTTACCCCCAGACATAGATTTGTCTATATAGGTCTACAATATCGTATATCCCCCCATATATCGGCACCTTACAATATTCGGTATTTTTAAGATTTTAAGAACATTTTTAATGGATTTTACTTTTTTACAAAGTTCGGCCCGGCCGAAATTACTGCTTTTTTACTTGTTTTAATTAAAATCTTAGACAGGCATTCTTGAGCCTCTTACATCTCAAATAATCGTTGGATTATGACTGAGTAAACGTATAAATTATGTTGCTAAAAGGTTTCAAGAAGTTCTTTAAACTTATTTTTGATAAACATTTTGCAAAAGTTAACTAATCAAATCTTAAAAAGGGTTTTCAAGTATGGAAAAAATATTTCCGTAAGAAAAATGTCTTTAAAAATCCACAAAGTTATATCGAAATTATCGAAATCGAAGTCATGACCTTTAGCAGGGTGCCCATAAAAACAAAATACTTGAAGCCATACCAAGACATTATTAAATATTTTCTGTCCTTAAAAAATATTCAAAAGATCCACGATTTTTGCCAATAAATTTAAAAAAAAAAATTCTGCGATAAGTGGCCAGGGCGTTATCCAGAAAGTACATGGAAATACTTGGCCAGGACGTTTTTGAAAAATATTATTAAAAGTCTCCGAAAAAGCTATAGTAAGAACGTTTTTGAAATTTATAAATAAAAACCAGTAAAGAAAGTCCTAAAATCGGGCGGGGCCGATTTTATGATACCCTACACCACTCCACATGACAATTAAAAGTTTTTATGAGAGAATTCAATCATACATCCTATGATTATAATTATAATTTAAAATTCAAAGGACTAAATATGCCGAAGCATTTGTATCTTTTAAATTCGGACTTGTATTGCCCATTTGGTGCAAAATTAATTTGAAATCAGATAAAGATATATATGGGAGCTATGTCCAAATCTGAACCGATTTCAATAAAATTTAGCAAAGGTATTTCTGAGCTCTATTTGATACATTTCCCTAAATATTGTTGTTACAGAGTGCATATTACGGCAGCGGGGGACAAAAATAACAAATCGAATGAACAATATATATGGGAGCTATATCTATATCTGAACCGATTTCGATCAAATTTGGCATACAATCTGATCGTACGTGTAAAATTCCATACTATTCGGACGGATATTACACGTTTGGTGCACAATAAAAAGCAAATCGGACGAAGATATATATGGGAGCTATATCTAAATTTTGACCGATTATCTCCAATTTCAATAGGGTTCATCCTTGGGCCAAACAATTGATTTGTGCAAAATTTCATCTGGATAAGGCTATAAATGCGAACTGTACTTCGTTTGCAAAAATACATGGACAGACGGACAGGCGGAGGGACGGACATGCATAAATCGACTCAGAATGTGATACTATGCAGATCATCAATAGGAACTATAGGTCTATCTCGGTTCCTTTTGCCTGTTACAATCAAATGCACAAATACACAATACCCTGTCCACCTTGTAGCGTAGGGTATAAAAAATAAAATTATGGAGTTTGACTTTGTTGCATTTTTTTTATCTCACCCTGCCATATATACCTATAGCCATATTTAAAAAATCCACTATCATTGGCAGGGACGTTTTTTGTCATATACTATTTATAAGTCCACTGTTTATTGAAAGCTGGAGTGTTCTTGAAAATATTAAACGATAAATTCACAATTCTTGAAAATTAAAAAAATACATGGCTCTTGGTCAACAGGTTTTGGCAAATTTAAAAAAATGCACAAAACTTTGCAGAATTATAAAAATATCTATAATTTATGAAGCTCCAAGGTCCTAGCTATATATCTTCATGAATCCACCAGAATTATGGCAAGAATCTTTTTTAAAACTATTTACTTAGCCCGAAACACTTTGTAAAACGGAATGCCATTGAGAAATATGTGACAGAAAATCCTTGAAAATTTAAAAAAAAAAACCGAGATTATCTTTGACAGATATTTAAAAAAAGTCTACGATTCTGATCAGGATGTTTATTTTTACAACAACAACAATTTATAGTCGAAAATATTTAAAAAATATTAAAAAATTACTCTTCTTGTCCCAGACATTTTTGGCAAATAATAAAAAAAAATAAAAATGGATTTCATTTTGTCATTTCATAATGACCGATTTTTGAGAGGAAAGAACGTACATAACAAATATTCGAAATATAGGATAAATGATATTAAAAATGGGCTTCATCGGTTCCCATTAAGGTATAGCTTTTATACAGCATTGTTTTCCGATTTTTGGTAAGTTGAAGATTTAAGCAGCAATTTTGAACTAAATCAATTGCTACTTGCAATTTCGATTTCTGATTTCTCCTCATATTTGTTACTATGGATGCTTCTTCTACAATTACTAACAAAATGATTTGAAACTTAACAGAAACTTAGAAAATTGTTCAATACAAAATATTTGAATTTTTAAAGGAAAAGTGACAGAGGAAGTGAACCGCTGAAGACACATTTTATGATAAATTATATGGAATATATCCCTGTATCCGTAAGTCAGAATACTGTCCTAACCATTGTCTCAAGGTTTTATGTCAAGACATGTACAGACAAACGGTTGTTCGATTTCGTGAAGCTTTTTAAAAGTTTTCCCCAAAGTTATATTCTTTTAATGCTACAATTTACAATTTCAGGACTAAAAATAAAATAACCGACATATAGTTATATCTTCACGCTTTTAATATAGCCGCTTAACTGTAATAATGAAAAATGTCTTATTAAAAGCAGCGGAACCTTAAAACCATCAAGAATATTTGCAATTATCTTTTGTTCCGGCGTATAATTTTCATTAACACAAAAATTTCCTCCGAGAAAATTCATATCCATCTACTCGAATCTTTGTGATCTAATGTATATTTACGGGCGTTAATGCATGTGTGTGGGTGCGTTATTTATATGCCACATTTACATTGTAAATTGCTTTCGTTTTTTGTTTGTTTTTGTTGTTGCTACTGTTGTTATAAGTGTTATTCGCATTTTGCTTTTTCTTCTTCTTCTATATTTTCGTACACACTTACATTGTAATTTTTCATCCAAATTGCCTTTCGATGTTACAGACAGGGCTCGTATAAATTCCTCAAATTCTATCGAACCATCCTGGTGTTGGTGAACACACACACACATCCAACAGAGAGAACAACGAATAGTAAGCAGCCACATCCACAGAGTAACACAGTTAACCACATCCAGTAGACCAGCAGAACAAACGCACGTACACACAACCATCGGTGCAAGACAATGTGGCAACAGCAACACAGCCAGGGCAAAAACACGAAGAGGAAAGGAGAAAAGAAAGAACGACGAGAAGTGAATAAATGGTATATTGGTAATTGATCTATAAACTAATAAATGATGTGAACTGAACGAAACCGAAGAGAGATACGAACAGAAAACGTGCATTTATCAGATAACCATGTTAATGCAATGAGAAAAATGCCAAAGCCACAGCAAAGCAATAAAAACAATGCAATTTAAATAAAAAAAGAAAAAAAATGAAAAAGCGAAGTTAAGACAACGAATATTAATTTCTAGATATAACAAAATTAGAAATTATTATTGGAAAAAGCTAAGGGATATGTAGAATACGTCAAGCTGCAAGGTTAATGCAATGGGAAAAATGCTAATAAAAACAAGTAAGAAAAATTATGCATATTTAGTAGAGCTTCCGTAACAAAAGAATTTATTTGAAGTAGATCATACCACCTATCAACATTTCGCTTTAGAGCAGTTATAAATTGGTTTTGGAGGAAACAAATATATGGGAGGCATATCCAGTTATGAATCGGAGACATTTTATATTCAGATCGATAAAATTTTGCAAAGGTATTTCCAAACTCTATAAGATATCTGATACCAAATATTATTGTTGTCGAATTCATATTACGAGTGTGAGGGACTTATAGACCAACTCGGATGAAACATATATATGAGAGCTAAAGATACATCTGAACCGATTTTCTCCAAATTTAATGTACTTGCTTCTGGAATGAATTCTATCGAAAGTGCCAAAATTCAGTTAACCCGAAATCGGTTGAAGAAATAAAGAGGTATTTTTGAGGTATTTCTGAGCTGTATCTGAGCTGTATCTGATATCCGGTACCAAATATCATTCTTGCGGGGTGCATATTCAGAATGTGAGGGAGTTCAACACCAAATCGGATGAAATATATGTAAAAATGGGAGCTATAGCTATATCAGAACCGATTTTCTCCGAATTCCATATCATTGATTGTGAACTGAATTCGTTTGGATGTACAAAAATGCAGGTCAGTTGGACTGAAATTTGCCATTTTGTGCACAATTAACCCGAAATCGGTTGAAGATATTTATGAAGCTATATCCGAATCTGAACCGATTTTGATCAAATTTGGCAGAGGTATTTCTGGGCTGTATCTGATATCTGACATCAAATATCATTGTTGTCGAATGCACATTACGAATGTGAGGAACTTAAAGACCAAATCGGATGAAATATATAAATGAGAGTTATAGCTATATCAGAACCGATTTTTTCCAAACTTGATGCACTTACTTGTAGATCGAACTCGGTTGGATGTGCCAAAATTCAGGTCATTTGGGCCGATATTGGACATTTGGTGCACAGTTAACCCGAAATCAGTTATAGATATATATGGGAGCTATAACCAAATCTGAACCGATCTTAAAAAAATTTCGCAGAGTTATTTCTGGGCTGCATTTAATACCTGGTACCAAAGATTATTGCTTTGGAGTGAGAGACTTTAACACCCAATCGGATAAACATACAGGGTGAGATACAAAACTGCAACCAACTTCAGACTGCTGTCATTTCTAAGCCACTCCTCCGACAGCTGTTAAAATTATTCCAGTGACAGCTCATTATATTGTTTACAAGCGTACAAAAACATTTTGGTGAGTATTGTCCAGAAAAAAAGTTATTCGTGATGGAATTCCAGCGTGATAGTGTGATTTATTTATACTTGGCTTGAAAACCAAATTTGGCTATCGTTAAAGCACTCCAGCTTTTAAATGAAAATAAATCTTTTGTGTCTCGAACCATCGCTCGTTACCGTGATGCTGGTAGCGTAGCCCGACGTCAGGGAAGTGGACAACATCAGCAGAAATGGTTCGAAAAGTAAAGAAGCGACTTGATCGAAACACGAATGGTTACAAAATGAGATTCATCACTTCATTTCCAGCGCCAAATGGCCACCAAAATCTCCGGATACCAATCCTTTGGACTATTGTGTCTGGAGTATTGTGGAAAGCAAGGTTGGCACTAAAATATACCAAAGTCTCGATCACCTCACCGGGAATGGTCCAAAATACCGCAGAGCAACATTCGGGCACATCTGACGGTTTCATTGGTCATTTGAAGGCCATAATTCGTGCCGAAGGTGAACAATTCGAACAAATCTAATCTTGTTCTAAAATTTGATGTTATTTCCGACATTATTTGCTTTCATTTAAGTTTAAAAAAATTGTAAAAATTGTGGCGTTTGAGTTTGTGGGAGCTAAACATAAATCTGAACTTAATGTACTTGCTTCTAGAATGAATTCGGCCGGATCTGCCAAAATTCAGGTAATTTGGACTGATCTTGGCAATTTGGTGCACAATTAACCCGAAATCGGTTGAAGATATATATGAGAGCAATATATAAATTTGAACCACTTCTCACCTCACTTCTCAATCGGATAATTAATGCGACCTGCATTTTGTTCACAAGAATTTTTTCGAAAATCTAGACCCCTGGATAACAATAGAATCTATGTGAAATTCTTAAGAAAACTTCTCCACAAAATCATTAAATTTCTTACTTTCCAAAAGGAACTTTTCCATTTTCTTCAACATTAAATTTCATTGCGTTTTATTTATATATTCCTCTACTTTCCTTTATGGCATATTTGCAAGTAATCTCCTCCCCAAAGCAACGCAAAACAAAGCTGCAAATCATTACACTTTTACCCCGCACACGTCCAACATATTTGGTATAGTCTTGTGAGCGACTACAACAACAATGTTAAAACTGTGTAATTAGTTGGTGAATTTCAAGTGAAATTAAATCATAAATCAAGGAAGCGCCACAGGGAAAACTAAATAACAGGAAACAAAGCAAGAAAATGTGGAATATATGTTACATAAATTAAAGCAAACAAAAAAAAAAGAAAAAATAAAAGCAAAACGAAAAACGAAAAAGAAAGATGAAGCTAAAGGCGAACTTAGGGAACTCTATGTAAATAAGTTGAACTTCTTTCATTGCGAAGGGGAGAAGCAGAAGTATGAGAAATTAGGTGCAAGAAAATAAGGAAAATATATAGAAATCAAAAATGCCGATTTAAAATATCCTGCACAGCTCTGAATTTGTACACTAGCAGAGTATAACTTGCAAAATGTAAAAAAAAAAAAAACAAAATATTGAAAAATGCAACTATAGAAATTGTATATTTAGAGGTTTAAAAGGATAAAAAATACTTGATTTTACAGTCCCTCTACAGGCCACATTTAAAAACCAATCGAATATAGAAGGCCTATATGTTGGACTATTATAAGTTTTATTGGGCCAAAAGTGTTGAAATATTGGTCCAAGGCATAAGATGTTGTGTATCGATCTTTCTATCTCGACAAACTGAGTCGATCGGGCCACGTGTGTTCGTCCGTCCATCTGTTCGCCTGTTCGTGTTAAATTAACCTCAAAATATTTAGGGGTTGGTATGGACCAAAAACTATATATCACTAGAAATTTTGCATGGGCCTAGTATTTAGGGCTGTGCAGAAGCCTACCAATTTGGATGGTCATTAAAAAATACTTAGCGTGTAAAATTGAATTTAATTTTTATGTAAAAAATTACGAAAATTAGAAAATTTACAACTACGCGAAAAGGTCATTTCTGACCGTTACATTGATGCTGATATCCTAGAAATCAAATATACAGGGTGAGATGAAAAAACTGCAATCAATTGCAGACTACTGTCATTTCTAAGCCACTCGTCCGACAGCAGCCCGACGTCAAGGAAGTGGACGGAAGAAAACAACATCAGCAGAAATGGTTCGAAAAGTAAAGAAGTGACTTGATCGAAACCCGCGACACAGTGGCCGAAAAATGGCTCGTGAGCTAAACATATCGCACAATTCCATTCGGCAAATATTGAAAAATGAGCTCTGGGTAATGCCATTGAAATTCAAAAAAGTGCAAGAACTTACACTACAACAGAAAGAAAATATACTCGAAAGAGCTGAAGAGTTTCTTCGCTTGGCCGAAAGTGATGAATTGCCGAATTTGGTTTTCTCCGATCCCCGATGAGAAAACATTCGTTGTCCAGCAGTTTGTAAACAAACAAACTAATCGTGTTTACTTGTCAAATAGGACAACTGAAAATGTGCACCTTCGGTTGGTCAGCAGAAGCTCAAGCGCCGGCCATGGTGATGGTGTGGGCCGCCATAACAGCCAATGGTCGCTCTCCACTCGTATTAATCGACCGCGGCATTAAAATAAATGCCGAATATTATCGCGAAAATATTCTGGAGGGTGTATTAAAGCCTTGGGAACCCAAACATTTTGGCCGGAGACCTTGAATATTTCAACAGGACTCAGCACCAACGAACTCAACACGCGCCCTCCAAGAATGGTTACAAAATGAGTTTCCTCCCTTCATTTCCAACACAAAATGGCCACAATATTGTGTGGAGTATTTTGGATCACCTCAATCTTCGCTTCGAAATGGGCTTAAATATCGCAGAGCAACATTCGGGCAGCGTGTGGTGGTTTCATTGGCCGTTTGAAGGCCATAATTCGTGCCAAAGGTGACCAATTCGAACAAATCTAAAATTATTCTAAAATTTGATGCTATCTCCGACATTGTCATTCAATTAAATTAAAAAAATTTAAAATTATGGCCTTTGACTTTTTTCTCATCCTGTATTTTCTCATTAATCTTTAAAAAAATGAAAATTTTGAATAATTTATGAAACCGTGAAATTTGAAAATTTTGTTAAAACTAAAAAAATATATGTAACAATTATGGCGTTTGACTTTGTTGCAGTTTTTATACCCTCCACCATAGTATGGATGGTATATTAAGTTTGTAACACCTCGAAATTTTACAAAGTATATATATTTTTGATCAGCATAAAATTCTATGTCGATTTAGCAATGTCCGTCCGTCTATCCGACTGTTCGTCTATCCGTCTGTCCGCCCGAAATCACTCTAGCTTCCGAACGAAATTAAGTAAGTTGATAAAAATTTTCTCAAATGTGTATTATGTCTGCAGGGCCATTATGTATTGGAAATGGGCCATGTAGGTCCACGTTTTCGTATAGCCCCCATATAACGATACCCCCCGATATTCGGTATTTTGATTATTTTGGCGACATTATTTACCGGAATTATTTCAAATTTTGTATTTGAATTTTGTGGATATCAATTCTGATTTCGATGTACCCAATTTCAAATTTATTGTGCTGCAAATGGTTAATATCGAACTTTTATTTAGTACTAGATATCAGATACAGTTTAAAAAATCTCTGCCAAATTTTTTCAAGACTGGTTCATACATGGTCATAGATCCACTCAACCAAATTAAGTCTGAAAGCAAATTCAACAGATTTTATGAAAATCGGTATAGTTACAGCTCCGATATATATGTTTTTATTCACGCCTTCTTCAAGCCATATTATATAGCTATAGTTGTTGGTACAAGATGTATAAATGCCTCCGTCAAATTTAGTGTCTGTTGTAACCATGCTTTCGTATAGCCCTCACAAAACCGTACCTCCTGATATTCCGCATTTTAAAGATTAAAGGCACATTTTTTTAGTGAATTTGTTTCAATGTGATGTTTACAGTTTGTAATGGGCTATGTCTTCGCTGATGAAACATTGGCTTTATAAGTCCACGTTTCCCCATAACCCCCATTTGACCACATCTCCAGGTATTCGGCTGGTGAAACATTAGCTTTTTAAGTCCACGTTTCCCCATAACCCCCATATGACCACATCTTCAGGTATACGGTTTTATTCCGTCTCATTTTTCAACGGAAGTGGTTTAAATTTGATATCTGATGTTCACACTAGGTCTCATGATCTTAGCCACATTTTTCAACGAAATGTTTCAAATTTTATTCTTGAAACTCCTTACACATTGCAAAAAATTATCTAGCTTCACTTTTGTGAATGACCCAAAGACATTAACTATACTCTTTTAGCAATTTCACTAGCATTTGCGGTTTAAATTGTAACTGATCCGAATTCCATTACTATAAATTAAACCGTTTTTTACATTCTCAAAATTAAAACTTATTTCTCAGTATCTCCCAATATATTTCGATAAATTCTAGAATAAATACTTACTACTTTGGTTAAAATAAAAAGATAAAAAATATAAAAATTTTTCTTAGAACCAAGAGATTTATATATCTACCTATGATTAGGAAAAAATAAAAACATATAATGCCAAGTTAAAATTTCAGGAAAAAAATACTCCTGAAGAAAAATGATATCTTAAACTCCATGCATATGAATAATGTATGAGAAATAATAAATAGCATTTCATATTTAAAACCAAATCTAAAATGCATACTTACATTATTCTCATCGAACACTCGAAACACTAAAGAGGCGAATTTACTGGGATCTCCTTGGGGGAAGAATTGTTTGTAGATTTTGATAAAACCCTTAAAGGCGTCAGTTGTATAACAGGAAATTTTTATGAATTATGGTAAAGAAAACAAACATCAAAGAAAGGGGTAAGAAAACAAACAAAGGAAATATGGCCAAAAAGAAAAAAACGACGAAAGATGAATGAACACACGCAAAATTTAAATCAAACAATAATCCGAAAAAAAGAAATAAGGACGAACCAATTTCATATATTTTAGTGTGGAAGTGTGTGTAATATTATTAGAGTTGTTATTGTTATTTTTGGTGTTGGTTATGTGTGTATGGGTTTTTTTTTTTTTTTTTTTTTTTTTGTTGGTTTGGTTTGGTGTTAAGACCACAAATACACGCATAGCATTTAGTGGCGCCCCAAAATGACAGGCAATGGCGTCATGAGTTACATTACCGAACGTTTCAAAACATCAGCAGTGCCAACCATAATCATCATCATCAAAGTGGCACCATCATCGTTGTTGCCGTCCATAACAACAACAACAACAGCGGCGGCAGCAGGAGGAGAATAAAAGCAGCAAAATTGCCACAGAAATGAGCAGCAACCACAATGGTAGTTGAAGTAAACACATATGCCATTTACCACACACACACACACACATAAACAAACAAGACGAATGGACGGACGACCAACCAGCCGCACACACACATTTATTTTTACAACCAAACCGAGTGGCAACATTTCATTTAATCAAACATGTCGCAAATATTGTTATTATTGTTGTTGTTGAAAATGGTATTTTTTTTGCAGGATTTTGTTGGTGTGGTTGTTATTATTGTTGTTGTATTGTGTTGAACATAATGTAAATATACAAACAAACACCAACCAAACGCACATGCATAAGTAATGACAAATACAGTTATGAATATATCATGGCAGGAAACGGAAGCAACAAAAAATTATTTAAAAATTTAAGGAACGAAAAAAAGTTTTGTGGATTTTTTTTATTTAACACAACCATTGCGTGGAGGAAGTTTTATCATTATTATTATTGTTGTTGTTGTATTTAGTTCCAGTCATCAGTTGTTGAGAATAGGATTTATTCCACATCATCATCCACCGCCATGTGTAAATTTTTTCATTTTGTTGTAAAATTTTATTTTATTTTATTTTGGCAAAGAGACCAAAAAAACGTAGGAGAAGAATAAAGTAGAACAGTAAAAAAAGGAAAATACAAAAAGTTTTTTTATTAATATTGTTTCATATAATAAAATAAAGTTCAATGTTCAGTGTAGATATTGGTAGTTTCGTAAAACTTATTTTGCACAGCGTGATAGTTGTAAAAGAATGTATTTTGAGGAAATTGGAAACAGGAAAACTATTTGTGATATTGAAACGCCTTATTCGACATTGTTTATTTTTTGTTTTTTTTTTTTTTTTTATTTTCTTTCCTTTGCTTTATTGCAAGGAGACGTATGTTTCAATTGTGTGTAGAAAAAATTTACATAAACTAAGACCAATTCATGAGATAAACTTTAAAAATTTCTATCTTTGACTTTCAAGGTCTTCTGACTGCAGAGAAGCTTTTAGGGGTCTCTTGTCCGAAAAAGAGCTTTAAAGTGTATTAGCTTGAAAGTACCTTCTGTCTATATAAAAATATTTAAAGATGGTCAGACTATAGAAGAGCTGTTAAAGGCTTTATGTCTAAACCAGTAAGGAAAGGTCTAAAGTCGGGAGGGCCGACTATGTGATACCCCACACCACTATGCGTATTTAGTAGAGCTACCGTAACTAAAGTAACGTAAACGTAAAAAGAAAATATTAGGAATTTATGTGAAGTAGAAAACAACAACTATGAACTTTAGTGGAATGTGTATTATGGCTCTAGAGTAGTCACAATTTAGGAAATATATCCAACTCTGAATCGATTTTCTATAAACCAAATAACAATGCTGTATAGTGAATGATATAACTTCGATAAAAATTATGAAAAAAAAAAATTAAAAAGTATCAGTCGGATTTGCTGGCAGATGTATAGCCTCAACCAATGTTCGATTATGTAAATATATTTTGACTTCTGTTATGATTATTCAAACTTCTGACCCTTTATGGAGTATGTTCCCAAGGAATGGACCAAAATTGTCCATTTCGCATTAGACCTAAATGAAATATGACAACGAAATATGTGATAATTTTTAGAAAATGGAATGTGTGTGAGTTTTTGGATATAGTCGACCGAAGAATTCAATTTTCATGCTGCATCTAATACAGATACAAATATTGACATTGAGCAAAATTACAAGAAAATCGAACATTTTCTCAGGTTTCTGGTTGAGAGAAATATTTAGATATAGCAAATTGTAAAGAATCACTGACTTGTTTCGCAAATTATGACAGATAAAAGCATTGAAAATTGTGACCCTTTTGTGGGTGAGGAGCCAGGAGGGGTTCGCATATATATATCATCTGCACAACAGATCTTGTGTGAGCTAAAATGTTTGCATGTGTGAAATTTGAAGAGAGTTTGATGTTTACTTCGCTTTCGTTGAGCGTTTTGTTTTTCAAAATCCTATGTCTAACCCTATGTGGGGGAGGTACCAGAAGAAATGCTTCGATCTCTACCATCTTTATAACAGATCCTGTGTTGATGGTGTTGATATTGAGATCTGTTGATACTGACATGTAACAAGTCTAAATGGAATCGAATGTTAATTTTGCGTTTTATGAACTTCATGGATATTCAAAATTGTGACCCTTTGTGGGAAGGTACCTGAAGGAGTGGACCGATATGCCGCGTCTTCACAGCAGATCTTGTGTTGGTAGAAATAATGGGATGTGTGAAATATGAAGAGGACTGAAGGCATATTTCGGATTTTATAATGGTTTTGATTATTCAAAACATTGACCCTTTGTGGCATAGGTACCAGAGGGAGTGGACCGATATATTCCATCTTCACACCAGACCAGAGATTTGAAGACAATCAGAATCCTACATCACATTATATAAGATTTATAATTATTCAAAATAGCTGATACTTGGAGGTACCAGAAGGAATGGTTCGATCTCTTTCATCTTTATAGCAGAACTTGTGTTAATTGAAATATTGTGATGCGCCAAGTCTGAATGAAATCGGATATTAATTTCGCATTTATGAATATCCAAAACTTTGAATATCCAAAACTGTAACCCATTGTGAGGGAGGTTGTCATTTCTGTTTACCAATTACATCAGTTTTATTCAATCCAAAATATTTTTCCTAAGATGGAAATAAATTATGACGAAAGATTATTTTTTATTATTATTTTCTGATTATTTAACGCTTTTGTCGCACTATTATAATTTTTTATATCACGCTGTGCGCCACTATTCGTTTTATATAAACTCTTTCACTTACTTGTTCTGTAAGTAAACCATTTGGACAGTCTTTCAGGAAGCCTTTATGCCTATGTGGGAAGGTAATATATTAAGTTTTGCGATTTGGATGTATAGGAAGTCAGATAAAAAAATAAATAAATAGATATATAAAATTAGAAAAGTATTTCAAACAACAATGACTTACCATTGTCGGATCTCTTTTTCTGTGACTGTAAAAATAAATAAAAAAAAAGAAAGTGTGAGAAATATGCATTAAAATATGTTTTTAAATTTATATTAATATGAAGGAATAATAACATCATGATAAATGCACATAAATTCGAAAATTCGGAGTTTATTTATCTTTTGTTCAGCAAAATATATAAAATATTCAACAAATATTTTTTCGCCTGTCGGTATCTTTGAAGAGGTATCTAATGTAGTATAAACTTGGGACATTGCAATACAATTGCCAAACTTAAAACAAAATCGAAAATGGGCTGTAACGGTTCCTTCTGATGTATCCTCAATTGAAAATTAAAAATTTCGTAAAAAAAAGCATAGTTCAAACATGATTTATGGTTATATTTACATGTCTACTTATTGTATCCACCGCAAAATTAGAAAAATTGAATTATAATAATACTAGCAAGTGATTGCCAATTTCTCAGCGAACAGTCCACCTTAAAATTGTAAATTCCTTCCACCAGTACATGTTAGTACTCAAAGAATGCGCAATTTGTTTATTATTTTGGCCGCAGACCTAGGACATTCCAACAGGACTCAGCACGCGCCACCCAAAAATGGTTAAAAAATGAGGTTCCTCGCTTCATTTCCAGCGCACAATGGCCACAAAAATCTCCTAATACCAATCTATTGGACTATTGTGTATGGAGTATTTTGGAAAGCAAGGTTGGCACTAAAAAATATCAAAGTGTCGATCACCTCAAGCAAGCGCTTCACGGGAGTGGACCAAAATACCGCAGAGCAACATTAGGGCAATATGTGACGGTTTCATTGGCCGTTTGAAGGTCATAATTCGTGCCATAGGTGACCAATTCGAACAAATTTAAACATATTCTAAAATTTGATGCTATTTCCGACATTTTTGCTTTCATTTAATAACATTTATAAAAAATGTAAAAATATGGCGTTTTTCATCTCACCCTGTATATTTTTGATACTTCCGAACTTGTTTAAATCTATTCTTTAAACTCATCTTTTATTTAGAACTCCAATATTTGTTTTTCTGCATTTGTCAACAAAACCCAATTAGAAACACAACGAAAAAACATTCAATGATTTATTGGAAATTTATAACTGAAAAAAAAACCGAAAACAAAAACCTTCCAGATATGATTAATATTTTTTTGCTATTGCCACGCAAAAAAATGCCATAACTCAAAAACAAGAAAATAAACAAATAAAGGAGAGAGAAAAAAGCTTTTAACCATGAAGAGATAAACAAAATGCCATAAAAAAACAAATTTTGAAATAGAAAAACAAAAAAAAAAAAAACAAACTGAAACGAGCAAAGCCATCAACAGCAGACAAATAAACAGCAGCCAACAATTGAGGACTGTTGCTGAAATCTAGGATAACGACAGCAACAGACTTAATGGTGGTAGTGGTGGTGATAGTGGCATCAATTGCATTGCAATCCCACCGAACAATGCCAGTCACTAGTGGTAACACCACCATCCACCCACCTCCCCACCGCTCACTTGCATATGCAAAAATACACTTGCACTCCTGCCGTCATCCACATCAACGCCACCCATCACCATCATTGTCACATTGGCCCACTAATACAGATAAACACTCCCCGGTTGTTGGTGAGTAAATAGAAAACAATGGAGAAGAATTTTCAAATGAATAGCAAAATAAGTCTTATCAAGGCAACTGACGGCGTGATGAGGAGAGGATGCAAACCGCTACTACTGCTGCTGCTGCCACTTGACTAAAATAAATGTACACTCCAAGATATGTATGTGGTTGGCGGTGATTGCAGTGCGCTCACATTGTTCACTCACTCTGGTATCCCTTTTTGCTGAGCATCAACAGCAGCAGCAGCAGCTTATAAAGTGAATATATATTGCATGGCAAATAATGCACCCTGCCTGCCTGCCTGACTGCGTAAAATATTAGGTGGGATGTGAAGATGTGAAAAATTGCAGAAATATTCAAAATACAACCGCATTTGTATTGTTTTAAATTTGTAAATGAAATGACTGAAAGTTGTTTTTTTTCATTCTTTTTTTAATACGAATTTATGTCAGTTATTAAATTAAATTTTTATTTCATTTCTTTCCATTGTAATTCCAAGTCAACTGGGGAAAATTCACCCTAATCGTCTTATTTATATTCATGCAATGACAAATGTGAAATTGTGTGTCTGTGTGTGTGTGTGTACGTACATACATCAACACGTTTGAAATGAAAACTAGAAGGGAATTTAAATGCAGATTTTGTGAAATGCAGTGTAATACGTTCATAAGCTCACATTTGCTGGTTGCTAAATAACAAATTTATTCTTAAATGCAACAATAAATGTTAACATGGTGAAATGAAATACGAAATGAAAATTAAATGTGACATGCTGAGCGGTAATTGTGGAACTTTATATAGAAATTCCCAAAAAAGCTATTTTGAGCAAATTAATATTTTGTTTTTCTGGAAAAAATCGAAATGAGAAGAAAAAGTATGGAAATATATCTTCCAAGAAAATGTTTTAGTATTAAAAGTCAACTCCAATATCTGAAGTTATTTACACTATGTTTGAGCCGTCATATTCCGATTTTTATACCCTACACCATGTAGTAGTAAGGGTATTATGTCTTTGTGCATTTGTTTATAACATGTAGCAGGTAACGAGATAGACCCATAGTTGCTCTTGAGGATCCTCATAGAATCACTTTCTGAGCCAATTTATGCACGTATCCGTATATCCGTCCGTCCGTCTGTTCATGTGTTCTTGTGAACAAAATACAGGTCGCATTTATTATCCGATGGAGATGAAATTTTTCCAACAATATTTGTTTGGCCCAAGGATGAACCCTATTGGAATTGGTGATAATCGTTTCAAATTTTCATATAGCTCCCATATATATCTTCAATCGATTTCGGGTTAATTGTGCACCAAATGGCCCATATATATCTAAATGACCTGTATTTTGGTACATCCTAGGTTTCGGAAAAAGGCACTAATCCTCATCAGTTCACTTGCTTATTTTCTCCAAGAGTTATGTTAAAATAACTCCTATGACAAAAACTTGTTTTACCCAAATGACGAGCTGATTAAAAGAGGAACCAAATAATAAAACTAAACTTATTCTGACAAGTGTGCTAAAATGGGTCAAATTTGGGCACATATTACGCATTTAGTGAAAAAACGGAATCGGGTATTTAAATCCGATTCAATGGTCCGATTGACACCAATTTTTATAAGAATTATGATTGGGCCAAGCTAAGAATTTGTAAAACGGTTTAAAAAATTATTTTCCTGTATCCCTTAACCAAGGATTGTAGGTAGAGTTGCGTCAATCTAGTTTATAGTTCAGTACCCCAGTTCCCAAACTTATGAGTGATTTCATAAATGTTATATATATCATATCACTCATACGCAGTGTTTTCATACAAACGAACGGGGTCCACGGAACTAGACCTAGGATGTTCGATCGAACTATATTGGCACAACTCTAATCGTAGGTTTTGTATAAAAATCGAACTATTTCTATGGAACATTGATCGAGTTCGGAGAAAGGCAAAATCGAGCACTCTTAAAAAAGAGTAAAAAGGTTAAGGCTAAAAAAATTAAAAACAATTTTCCCATTTTATACCCTCCACCATTCTATAGAGGGTACATAAACTTTGTCAATTAGTTTATTACTCCTCCTTATGAGTATGGTAGCGATACCCGTCTGTTTGTTGTAATCATGCAGTTTCTTTCGAAAGAATTGAGATAGAAGGCTAAAATTTTGCACATGCGTGTATTTAGGCAGTAGGCAAGTTTAGTTCGTAAATTGGTCATATCAGCCCACGTTTGCGTAAGGCTTCCACATAAAGATACCTCCCGATATTCGACATTTTGATGATTTTAAATGATTTTTGATGATTTTTTACCGGAATTGTTTCAAATTTCGTAGTATGTGCTACAGCTAGTGCCAAAAATTCGCGTATGCAGGTTCAGGTCTTCGGATAGCCCCCCTATAACGGATGATTTTAGCGGAGTTGTTCAACAAAGTTGTTTCAAATTTCGTATTTGAAGTTCGGGATCGATACGATTGATACAATGACAAAAATTGCATATGCAGGTCCACGTCTTCATATACAGGGTGAGATGGAAAGACTGCAACCAAATTCAGACTGCTGTCATTTCTAAGCCACTCGTTCGACAGATGTTAAAATGATTCCAGTGACAGCTTATTGCATTATAACATTTTGGCCGCAGGACTCAGCACCATCGCACTCAGCACGCGCCACTCAAGAATGGTTATAAAATGAGGTTCTTCGCTTCATTTCCAGTGCACAATGTCCAAAGTGTCTATCACCTCAACACAAGCGCTTTGCCGGGAATTAGCCAAAATTCCGCAGAGCAACATTCGGGTAGCGTGTGACGGTTTCATTGGCCGTTTGAAGGCCATAATTCTTGCCAAAGGTGACCAACTCGGACAAATCTAAACTTAATCTAAAATTTGATGCTATTTCCGAAATTTTTTGCTTTCATTCAATACAATTTTAAATAAAATGTAAAAATGTTGTCGTTTGACTTTGTTGCAGTTTTTTATCTCACCCTGTATATGGGTGCTATATCAAAAACGTACCCTTTCTCGATAAAATTCGACAAATTTATTTCCGAGCTCAATAAGGCATCTGGTACCAAATTTCATTGTTGTTGAATGCATATTACGAATATGAGGGAATTAAATACCCCATCGGATATACATGTATACCCCATCGGATATACATATATGGGAGCTAAGCTATATCTGAGCCGTTTTTCACCAAATGTGATGTACTTGCTTCTAGACTGAAGTCGATTGGATGTACCAAAATTTAGGACTTTTGTACTGATATTGGTCACTTCGTGCACAAGTGACTCGAAATATATCTAAATTTCCGATTTTCCTATTCTCGCCAATTTTAATAGATATAAATAATAAAAATTTAAAATAAAATTTCATCTCATTCGGATAATAAATGTGATCTGATTTTTTTTCACAAAAATATA